GGTAAAGTGAGCACTGAACTTGATCACACTTCCCTGACTTCTTCACATTTCTGAAACATTTAGGTCTAAGGCTTCGAAGAGGTAAAAGTAAACAAGAAACTGGTTTGCTGTTTTTCTAAGTGAGAATAAGCTACCATATTGGGGCAGGACTCCTAACTTTCTCTGGAGAGGCCTAGAGCAGAACCTGCTTATTTTGAACTGCAGATCTAACCAATTGTCAGGGCTGTTGGACAAATGGGTAGCAAAAAGGAAAAAAAACCCACAGGGCTGCTCAACACCTTCTAATCACCAGTGCAAGACAGTGCTAGGTACAAGACCTCTCAGTTGCTGAGAAGTCTCACTCTTTGGAATGCTAAGGAACTGAAATTGAGTTACAGTGAAGACTATTTTTATAAATATATGGGCAAACACTCGAGGACTCAAGCAGGGCCGGCAGTGAGTGCAGGGGCCACCACGGCAGCTGAGGCAGTGCTGGGAGCTGTGGCGGCTCCTTGCAGGGCTGTACTGGAAGCAGCTCAGCTGGCATCTGTCCCCATCCCCAGCAGAACTGGCTCCTTGTTAAGGAACTCCCTTCACCCCGTGGCAGGCTTTCCCATCCACCCCATTCCTTACTGGCAAGAAATAAAACTCCTTCTCCAACAGTATTACTGTTGTGTCCCGCTCTAGTCTTGCCCTCTGATTTTCTTGCTATGGGAAGTAAACAGCAGAAACAAACCCAAAGGAAGTTACAATTGAGTGCAGGAACAAATGGCATGAGAGGCTGGAGAACAAAAGGCAGAAGAGGCACACAAATGGCAGAGACAGTCTCTTTCTGCCATTTTCCTTCTTTCTGAAATCCTCAGCACCAGCTGCAGAGTATCTAGGCAGCTGGTGCCCATAGAAGCCCCCATGAGCACAGCATCTAACCCTTGTCTTGTTTCATTTTGTAACCAGGCAGAAGCTGGAAACACTGAGTACAAGGTGAGCCTTTTGAGGTTGCAGAAGGAAGTCTTCCTCATAGAGAGTTATTTTACAGTGAGTAACCTGACCAGAGCCATTCTGCAGGGAACATAGCCAAGGAAGGGACAGAAAACATCCACAGTAAAACTCAGGAGAGAGAAGACTGTACGTATCCAGCATTTGCCAGTTCAATATGTATGCAGCAGGAGAGTTTTAGTCCCAACACACCAATCCGTGCCTGCCACAGCTCAGGTCCCTAAAGAATCACTGCATCTGTGCCTTAAAAGGGATTTGCCTTCAAAAGCAGCCCAGGAAATGAGGACAAAAGGCACAATCAAGCCACAGGAGACAAATAAGTTCCAACAACACATAGTCATATTTGGTAAAATTATCAACACCTCAGGCAATGCCAGTTAAACTTCTTCTAGGGAGCTCAGTCATTCACAAAAGCCTTTTAGGGTCACTGGTGCTTGGAACCAGATGTAGTCCTCCAAAGCAGCTGACATTTGCTCTGGAGGGGAGGCACTAAGGTGGTGGTCTCCATCACAGGACAATGTAACAGTCAGTTTCTTTGCTCGGGTTGGCACTTTGTAGTCGAGCTTGGGCCAGAACCACTCTACACCACAGTCACGGCGTCCCTGGGCCATGACACACGTGCCCGTGGCAGGGAGAGCCTTAAGGTCGCTGAAGACATCCGCGACAAAGAGGCGGTGAAAGAGCTGCCGAACGCAGCGCGCAGTCTCGAGGCTGTTCTCGGCGCCGCCCTCGCAGAGCCCTTCCAAGTCCAGCTCATAGACCTCCTTGGGGTTCATCACATTGCCTCCAAGTAGGAAAAGAACCCGAGGAACCAGCGTCAAACTAAACAAGTCTTCCAGGTGCTGGCATACTCCCTCCAGCTCCGTCAGCATTTGCTGGCACTTTTTGCTTGCCAAGCCCATGGAGGGTGGCTTCTCAATTCCATCTCCATCCTGGAAAACCGACAAGGAGACAAAGAGATTAATACATCTAATTATCAGGACACAGTAGTCCCAACACACCCTTCAGCAAGCACGACTCATCCCTTCCCTGAGTGTCCAGGGAGGTTCAAGGAAGCTGTGCTTCTTTTGAGCCCTATAGACACCCACACAGAGAATCAGACGGTCTGAGAGGAACACAAAAGCACACTCCGTTGGAATCCGGATTACACTGCAGATGAGATCCCACAAGAACTACAAGCCCCATCTTTCAAAGACCAGCCAAAGCAGTGACATGCCTTGAGCAGAGAGTAACAAGCGACAAACAGCACCTTGTCAAGACCTTCAGCAGCCTGACCTCAACGTTGCCTTTGGTTGTTTTTTGTTTCCCCCCTCGAGGAACACGTAACGCTTAGGCGTAACGTATAAGGCGCCAGTTATAACGCACGTTTTTAACGCGCGTTTTGCCTTGGAAGCACCAACGGGCGTTACAGCGCGAGAGGCAAAGCTCAAACGCCTCGGCCGCACCCGCCCAGCCCCCTCCATCCCGCACCCGGGGGTCCCTCCCGGCCACCACGGCCCCTCACCTGAGCCGCCGGCCGGCAGGAGCAAACGAGCTGCCCGTAAGGCAGCGGGAGCTGGTTCCGCTGGTACAGGACGTGCTTGAGCAGCTCACAGGCGAAGCGGCAGCCCCTGGCCCCGGCCCAAAGCCCCCGCGAAGC